CGAGGTGCCGATCTCGCGGGCGAGGTTCCCAACCCGCCTGCGAACTACGAGGCGGGGATGATTTTTTTCTCTCTTCGGCCTAGGGACGAGGCCTGGCTGTTATGGGGGTTCTGGGCTCTGGAGGACTTTCTTTGGTGGGAGCGTCCATCCTGCGGGGAGACCTTGACCGGCCTCGAAGCAAGGTGGCGAGGTGGAAGTAGTGGTTGGTTCAGTGGCAGTTGGGGGAACTGCTGTTGATAGTGATACTGGGAGATGTTGTGCAGCACTTGGTGCTGGTGAAGCTGGTGTTGCTGGAACTATTGCATTGCTCGCATGCACTGCATCAGGTTGTCCAACCGGTTTTGGCTGGCTGCTAGGGGGACGGTAGTCGGTTCGGTAAAGGTTGTCTCAATAGGGGGAGGAAAGGGAATGCTTGTAGCAGGAAGGTTTACAGGCGCTACTGCTTGTGGCGCATTCAAGCTGGGGATTCCATCCTCCGAAGGGGGGATGGTGAACTGTCCAACACACACCATGGGGACTTGAAGTTGTTCCCCGGTGGTGTTTGTCTCTGTGCCACGTCCGGCGTTGCTGGAAGAGGCCATGAGTGTTGGGTTTTTTGAAGAAGAAAAGGGGGTATGAGAGTTTGGAGGGAGGCTTTTTTGAAGCGTTCCCACAGACGGCGCCAATTGATGATGCGCAATCCGACCGGTCTTAGTTGTCAACGACTTTGCCTCTGAACTGAGTAGCAGAGAACCTGAAACGGAGGAGATGAGGAAGCTCCAGGGGGAACCTGGTGTAAAGGCTCCGAAGCTTAAGTTAGAATCTTTCAAAAGCAAGGTAAAACCAGATAGCGCAAAGTTTGCATACCTCCTCTTTGGGGGTGGAGAGCCTTTTATAACCACCTCGYGCACTCACTYCWAGACTCCTGTCAGGTCGGGAATGAGTATTTCCGTGCTTCTGCCAGTTTGGGCGTCATAGCCTCTGCTGGGCAGAACCGTCACTGCTCTTTTTGTCGAAGCCGTCTCT